TAGGGACGTTTTGTGCCAAAAAATGAAAGGTAGGGATGTTTTCTACAATAAACTTGATAGGTAGGGACGTTGCGCACCAAAAAATCAAACGTAGGGATGTTTTCCACACAACCCTTCAAAGGTAGGGACGTTTTGCGCCAATAACCCTATTTAGTATCTATGGACTAGATCTTCTGCTTTTGTTGCAAGTTGTTTAAAATACTAAAAAATGTCACCAGAATTGGCCAACTGGGTAATTATGGATTCAGAGATTGGTATAATTTGCATCAATCTATTAAAAGTCATGAAGGGAATGATGAACATTTACGTTGCATGACTAGTTAGATTGAATTGGAAAATAGGATTTAGTCGAAAACTACAATAGACAAAAGTGTTCAATTGGTGATAGACGCAGAAAAGGAACATTGGAGAAATGTATTAACGAGGATCATCGCTATTGTGAAAAGACTCGCCAAAAACAGCTTTCCATTTCGAGGAGATGAAGAGATGCTACATGTTGAGAACAATGGCCTATTTTTACAAGTGGTGGAAATTGTTAGTGAGTCTGATCCAATAATGCAAGAGCACGTTCGACGGGCTAAAGTACGCGAGATTCAATATACATATTTTGGCAAAACAATTCAAAATGAGTTGATATAGTTGTTGGCAAATGAGGTGAGAAGTTCAATTGTGAAGAAAGTTCAGCATGCAAAATATTTCGCGGTTATACTTGATTGTACTCTAGATGCTAGTAACGATGAGAAAATGTCTTTAGTAATACGATGTGTTGACGATACGGCAAACTTACGTATAGTTGAAGAATATTGGCTTGAATTTTTGAAGGTAGATGACACAACAGGACTTGGACTTGTAACTAAGCTTCAACAGGTTTTAACTAAACTTAATGTTAATGTTGATGATATTAGAGGGCAAGGGTATGACAACGGATTTAACATGAGCGGGAAACACAAAGGTGTGCAAACTGCACAAATAAGAGATGCGTTACTTGATCTGGCAGAAAGTAACGAAGAGGCTAAAGTAAGGAGTGAAGCCGAGTCGTTAGCAAGAAATGACCTTCAGAGTTTTGAGTTCTTGCTTGCATTGATTATCTGGTACAGGTTGTTGCGTCCAATCAATATTGTGAGTAAATTTCTTCAAACCGAAAATATGGATATTGATCGTGCTATCGACCTCTTGCAAGGGCTTGTTTCATTTCTTGAAAAATATAGAGAAACTGGATTTGCTATTGTCATGGATGAAGCAACAAAGAAGGCAAAAGAAATGGGAATTGAAGTTGTATTTCGAGAAAAACGTATAATTCGAAAAAAAAAAATATTTTGATGGAAGCGGAAGTAATGAAATAAAGCAATCAGTTGAAAAATCTTTTAGAGTTGAATACTTTGTTTTTATAATAGATCAAGCTCTATCTTCTATGAGGACTCGATTTGAACAATTCAAACAATATGACGACACTTTTGGGTTTTTGTTCAATTTGAAGAGGTTAAGGGGTGAAACTCATTCAATTTTGATGAAATCTTGTATGAATCTTGAGAAACAATTAGAACATAACGAGTGTTCGGACATTAGTGGAGATGATTTATTTTCGGAAATGCTAGTCTTGCGGTGCTATATACCAAGTAAAGCAACGAGAGCAATTGAAGTGCTACGATATTTGAAGACATTGAATGTTTGTTTTCCAAATACTTATATTGCTTATAAAATCTTGTTAACCATGCTGATTACAGTTGCATCTGCAGAAAGAAGTTTCTCCAAATTGAAGTCGATCAAGACTTACCTCCGATCAATTATGTGACAAGAAAGATTGAATGGATTGACTATATTATCAATAGAGAAAGATATGGTTGAATAGTTAAATTATTCAGATTTGATTAATGTTTTTGCCTCTAAAACAGCGAGATGAATAGTATTTAAATGATTGTTTGAACTCTTGTCTGTTTTGTTACTTTATAATATATATAAATCTTTTGTTCTTTATATTTATTTGTTGTTCTACTCTTCAGTGTTAAGTTAGTAATACGTTGCATAATGCACCATTGAATTTTGCATTTACGTTTATCTTAGGGGCCCAATTTTGGGAGTTCACCTCAGACCCCGAAAATCACAAGACCGGCCCTGCCACCATTTCTATGACCTTCAAAATCTAAATCACCACAATCACGAGTAAATCTGCACTATCACTCCACCATCACCACAACCATCGACGCTCGCCATAAACTACCACAAAACCAATTACCACCACCTTGAACCACTAAAAAACCACCACCATCGTAATCATCTAAACCTTCCAAATTACAAAAACAAAAGTAAAAGGAAAAATCATACAAGCGAATTTTGGCAATGGTGGTGGTAATAGCAATGGTGGTGGTAGTGACGTCAACTATGGAGTGAAGTGATAATGGTGTGGTAGTAGTGGCAGTGTGACGAGATCGAATTTGGGATGTTAATTTTTATGGTGATGATGTGTGATTTTTAGTGGTGGTGGAGGTTGATGATGGTGGTGGTGATGACAATGGTGCAGATTGGGTGGTGGTGCTGCAAATTGATTTTAGTGGTGATGGTATTGGTTTTGTGGGGTGGGGTGGGGTGGGGTGGGAGGGGGGGCCTTGGGCTTACTTTTTCGTAGATTGGGTATGGTGGTGCATGGGTTCGGTGGTGGTTGTGAGAGTGTGGGATGAGGAAATGTTAGGTTAAGATTTTTTTGAAATGCCTAATTTAGGCAATACGTTTCTTTAACACTTGAATTAAGAAATATCTTATAAAATATTTTTTTTTTCAGATTTAAAAAAATAAATAAATAAATGAGCCTAATTTACTCATTGATTTATTTACGTCATAGCTCAATAAGTTCAAATAAATAACTCAATCCATCCGAGCCATTAAATTTCAATATTGATATTTTTAAATAAGCTAATGTGGGATGAGGAAATGTTAGGTTAAGATTTTTTTGAAATGCCTAATTTAGGCAATACGTTTCTTTAACACTTGAATTAAGAAATATCTTATAAAATATTTTTTTTTTCAGATTTAAATAAATAAATAAATAAATGAGCCTAATTTACTCATTGATTTATTTACGTCATAGCTCAATAAGTTCAAATAAATAACTCAATCCATCCGAGCCATTAAATTTCAATATTGATATTTTTAAATAAGCTATCATTTTGCGGAGTTCTCACTAGAATAAAATTCCATATCATTTATATATAAAATCACTAATCTTTTAAGATGGAATCATAAGGATCAATAACTACTGCACAAAGAGCGACATGTAAAGGAAAAAATCCAACCCTTTCGAGCAAGATGGAAACGAGGGTGGAAGAGAGGTGCCGAGAATTTTCTTGGAAATATAAAAGTAAAAAAAATCGAAATTTTGGGGAAATTAGTCTGGAAGAATCAATTTATGCTATGTCAATATCACAAGCATTAACAATATTGGAAGAAAGTGAATACATAATTGAATGGCAATTATGGGTGTTAATTATATTAGGTCTAGGTAGTTAGTGGTTGCGTTGGCAATTAATTGTTGTTAATTATACAAGTCTAAGTCAATTAGTGGTTGCGTACAAGATTCTTCTACACTAATGCTATGAAATAATCCATGTTATTATGCCCTTATTTTCCCATACTTTATGCACTTCTTACTTTTCTTGCTTCGTCGAGTTATATTAAACATTTATTTGGTAGACATTAAAATCAGATTTTTAGTTGATTCTGATAAAAGTTGATGAAATGTGTGGTTGAAAAGTTGTGGTTCTTATTAAGAGGGTGTTTGGTGGGAATTAAAATTAGATTTTTAGTGGATTGTGATACAAGTTTTCGAAATGCGTGGTTGAAAAGTTGTGGGTCTTATTATGTGTGGTTAAAATTAATTGTTGATTTTGATTTAAGTTTTTAATTAGATTTTAATCCAATCAAACATGGGCTAAATATCATACGATTAGAATCTTTCATTTTCTGATTTCATTGCTAGCTCTACCTACGCGAACTCCAATTAGGAAGTCAAATTTAGACATTCTACGGGTTTGGTTATTGGAAAAATTGACATACTCTCTTTCAGATTCAAGAAACAATTCTCGTGTGGAGATTGCGTTAGGGAAGAAGAATGAATGCTACCCATATTTTCCATTTTGTGCATCACATTAGAAAGTTGCCTTTTTGTTTTTGAAATTAATCTATTATGAAAATAAAATTCTAAATTTCCAACATAAAAATACTGAAAATAGTCCAATTATTGATGGCCATCTTTCACCACCTCTTTTACAAAGTCAATAAAGCTAATATATATATATAACAAATAAATTAATCGTAAGTCAAAAGTTGACAATTAGAAAACTTATTTTTAGTCCGGAGGTCACATGGTGCCACCAGCAGCCCTTCGTAGCAATCTAATTTATCGAAGGATTATCTTGGCATGCCACTTATCATATTAATCTTTAGGTTACCAAATACAAGAATCTTTTTCATTATCAAACATTTTAAAATCATCTTTACTCATTAATCTAATATTAATTATTCTTCAAATATTATGTAATTGAACATACAAAACTTAATTTATCGACATACAGAATCTCAATGGTTGAATATTTATACAAAATGTCTCCTTACTACATTTCTAAATACATAATAATTCTTAACGTAAAAAGACGAAAAGAAAGACCCTCTTTTCTTGTTCGGTAACATGAATTGTATAAAGATGATCACACTGAAGTAAAATCTTGTCTATTTTACTGTCGAATCTTATCGAGTGGCATCTCCTTGAATCGAGAATTCACCTCCTGTATGCCTGATTTCTCATTTTCTGTGAATTGGATGTAAATGGAAACAGTATATGAAGTATCAAATGCTGAATGGATGTTTGTACCTTGATATAGTTTAATTATTGCCTCTCAAGATCTGGTAAGCCATCTTCTTGACCACAGGATTGGATTCTTCGAGACGATCTTTCCCTACTAAGAATTCTTCTGAATGAACTTAATCTTGAACTTGATCCAACAATTTTAGCTGAGGAAAAAATTCCACCATCTGATGTCCCTTCCATGCTTGTTATAATGATAGAGTTACTACCATGGAGTGGCGGAGCCGAGGGCAGAGCTCCTGTGGCACCGGCGATGCCCTCCCGTGGCTCCGCCACCAGCCGGGGCTCGGCCTCTGTCCGGCAAATGGGGCAGGTTGAGTTTGATCCAAACCATTTGTCAATGCACTCAGCATGGAAAGTGTGCTTACAATTTGGCAAGGTCCTAGCCATTTCACCATCCTCTAACATGCTCAAACAAACTGCACACTCCATTGAACTTGACCCCATTTCATCGCTCTCATTTCCATTTGTTTGCTTGAACACAAATATGGGCAACGAAGCCATGACAGAAGGGTCGAGGCCAGTCCTTGGTAGCTCCATCGACTGGACATTGGCGGCGCTTGTAATGAAGCCTAGGTGATGCAGGGCGGCCTGACGCCGTGCTTGGCGGCGCAGGACGTATCTTGCATATATGTGGAGGATTGTGACAAGCAACACCACAAATGATAATAAAATTATGGCTGTGAGCATGATCTTACTGTTAAGAACATAATTGTTTCTTCGACGGTTGAAAAGATGATCATCGTCATCGAACCCCATAGTCGAATAATTTGGAAATCGGGAGGTAAAATTTTAGGAGGATGGAGTGCTTATTATAGAAATTTTTAGATTGGAGTATTAAGATCTTATTTATGTGCGTGAATGACTTGGGCTGTTGGGATTCAATGGAAAAATGAGAGGGGAAACCATATATTTCAACGGGTTTGACTGTGGAACATTGACTTCGGAAAATTTTTGATTTGATGCTTAAGAATTTTAGTTCAACAAGGAAATTAGTGAATGAAATTTCTTGGTCATGAGTCATGAACTGCGTGTTGTCATGTAGATTTTTATTAAACAAAACATAATTGTACTAAAAAAATAATAATAATAACGAGTAGTGTTTGAAATTTTACATGAACGTGAAACGAACTATGCCTAGATTGATGTGCACATAACATTTGTATGATACCTATCTCTTAGGACATCTTGATTGTAAAATTGAATTCAATCTTCGAGAGAATAAGTAAACATAAAAACCCAACCACATTCACGGTGAAGTTACAGTTGTGGTTGGACGAGGATTTACCATTTATGTGTTTCACTGAACTTCATTGGCAATGAATCATCGACCCCTCATATATGGTTCAAATCAAGATATATTTTGTCCGATTGACCTGCGAATGATTTTTGTCTACTAGCTTACATTTGATCCTTGGTGTAAGCCTAATCCTGCTAATTTTTAGATATGATGCGCCTTACAGTACATGTTAAATTTTGATTTACTGTGCAATGAGATATATACGTATCTTTTTTTTATCAATCAACGTTTACACATCTCTGTATGGTGTGAAAAAGGTTCATTGACTTGCGCCAGGTATATCATTAGAGCAGGAAAAATCAATCCTATTCCTAGTCCAAACGAAAATATTTTGATTTTGTAACAAGGGCAGTTACACACAAATTGTTAAATTTTTCAAGATCTAATAATGCTTTGACTCTGCAAATGAACTGGGCCACTGATAGTGATGCTACATTACACGTTCTACAAAAAATAAAAATAAAAATAAATAAAAAAATAAAAATCAAATGAATTAATTCTTTAATAAATAAAAAATACTAAATGAATTATTTCTTTAATATATTGGTTCCATTTGGATTTAATTTTCTTTCGCTAAAAATCTACTTTTTTAGAGCCAAACAATAATTTTAATCACACGTTTCGATTTCGTGAGATCCACAAAAATTATCCATTAATCAATAACTCGTTTCTTGAAATGTAGAATTTTAGTGAGATAAAATGGAGGCAACATGAATAAGCCAACAAATGGCAGGTCAAAAATTTTGTTTGGAACTAGATTAGTTTGAACTGGAAAAATTAAAATTCTAATACTCAATCAATCAATTAATATTATTTTTTTTAAAAAAAAAAATCTATATAATGTTAGATTAAGGCCGACATAATTTCTTGGAATAAGGATTTGAATATTGTAAGATTCATTTTGCAAATTTCCTTTTGTAAGTAATTAACAACAAATCTTTTTTTTTTTTTTGTACTTTTTTTTTTAAACCGATCAATAGACAGTTAATAATTTATATTTGTCTCATTCGATCAATAATTATGCATGTTTGGTCCACATTTTTTTTCATTTTCATTCTTCTACTCATTTTCAATTACACATTTTTCAATAAAATAATATTTTTTTTACATCAATAACTTTTCATTCTTTTTCAACCACATATTCCCCATCACATCAACAAAAAAGATGCATTCTTGCTCCCCAAAATGTGCACCAAATAGGGGAGAAATATGTTCTTGAAATATTTTGATATAATCTAAAGAAAATCTCGAAAAGTAGAAAATATATTTGAAATGTCGAGCCGATAAAAGTAGAAAAAGATGTTAAATCATACATTTTGCTTATAATTTTGTCTAATTTAATTAATGTATCAATTTGAAATGTCAAATATGTTACACTTTTTATTTTTCTAACTTGATGATATCTGACACGTCCTTAAACGTTTCAAATGTCTTTGAAAAACCTTTTATTTAACAATAAAAATACCGTTTCTGTGCTCTCAGAGATGTTCTTAGTGGTATTTTATGTGCCGTTTCTTCGTGAAGATTCATATTTGAAAAATATTTATAAACAATTTAAATTATAAATAGATATAAATGAGTAACGAATATTCAAGAGTGTGAATACAATCTTTATACAAATTTAAGTTTGAATGCGTAGGATAGCGTAAAAACTTGGAAAGCATTTGGCGGAATTTTCCAAGAATCTGATGGACCAGAAAATACGCGTTCACTTTGTCCGATGATGACTGCCGGCTAGAGTCAAAGCAATAGACTTTGTGCAACCATCATCTCTCTCTCGTATTGAAAATGTGGCATTTTTTTTAATTCTCCTTTTGTTTTTCACATGCCAAATAAGTAATAATAAAAATAATAATGAAGATTTTAGACAAATTGGAAGAGGAAGGTCAACCCAGCTGTTGAAAAAACCTAAATCAGTAGGGACACTAATAAATCGTATTATAATTCTGGTTAATAGGATTCGAGAGGTCAAGTGAGTACGATATGTCTTTTTATTTTTATTTTTTTTATTTATCGAGATACTTCATTTTTAATGTAAATAGAATATATATGCGTTGGAGATTTGAAAAAAAAAAAAAAAAAACTTGAAATTGGATATATCGGTCGAAGAATTTCATATAGATTGTACACGAATGAATCGTTCTTGAACTACATAGAGATATTGATGGTGTCGCTAACAATGTGCCTCTTTTCGAGGATATGTATCAAGAAGGATCATGCTATAAGTACATAATCATTTACATAATGTATTACATAATTGACATGTGGCGCGCATCCATCGATAGTTTACAATTTTAGACTTTTTCACACTTCACATCCACGGACGGATTTCTTCCACATGAGACTATGTAATCCATTATGTATAATAGTTATGTACATATAGATTTATCCGTATCAAGAAATATTAGCCCATCCTCGTGCAATGCTCCTAGTTTCCATTATAAAAGATGTCTTAGTCGTAGAGAGTCGTTTGCACACAGCCCGTGTCAGCGCGAGTCCAGATCCATATTCCTCTTTTGCATCTGGGAATGAACTTTCTTGTTTCTCTAGCAATTGGGCCAAGGTTTGTTGACACACACAGTTGTGACGCAGCTTTAGGCATCATTATATAATAACAGTCTGGCATGGTTTGATCGAGTTTTCCATCACAATTAATTTTGCAGCATCACCATATTTTCACCGTGATAGTTTTTTAATTTAACATTTATTTAAAAAAATTACCATATCTTAGCTTCAAAATGCGTGTTTTTATTTTGCGACATGCTTTTGAAATTTTGAGAAGGATTAAATTCAATGATTCGTCTCACTACTTCATGTTGCCTTGATGGAAATTAATGAATCGTTGTTGCTTGTTGGCTTTATAAATTTCTACCACACGCGTCTTAAATTTATGGGTCTACGCCTGCGCGTGATAGATTGGGTCCGTGACAAAATCACTGCTAAAAGTATCGATAAGTTTCTCCCACCCTCACCCAAAATCTGCAAATCTGGGTTTGGAACTTCGAGAATGCTTCAACAAGCTCAGGAATGGAGTCCTCAGAACCGAATGTGCGCTCTATTGTAATGACAGTGGCTCTAAGGAACTCTGTCTATGCATTTAGTCCAAAACTTCGTATTGATTGACCATGGAATCAAAAACCCAAAACTTCATCTGAAACAATTCATCTTCTTCCCACCCTCCACACTTCTAAAATTTTTCATTTTTCAAGCTTGCAATGGAGCTGGATTTAGTTAGTGAATCCGAATATAAAAACAAACTTTTAAACTTATTCTATGGTAATAATGCGAGAAAAGAACTTTACTTATGATCTTCACAACTTGTTCCATATCAAGCCTTTCTTCAGCAAATCGACTGTGCTTTCAAGAGCTAGTTCAATGGCTACTTTATTTCCAATTCGGGAATAAAATAGCAAGCTCATGCCCTGTAGTAAAGTTCGAATGTCACACAAAGTAGCTTCATTTGGTGCACAACTAAAATACACGTTGAGGCTCTGAACGACCCGGAGTGAATGCTTTAGGCTACATTGACATTTTAAACTTGGTACATAAGACTTTCTAGCAAAAAAGTCACTTGAGTCGACAAGGGTCGACAAGGGTCGACAAGATCATCGTTTCCTCAAGAATTCGAAGATGCCTTACGTTTCTATGATCTTTTACATTAGTGTACGACGGATTTCGCGTATTAAAATACAGAAATCTTTACAAATTGTATCTTTGAGAAATACAAATGAATATGAATCTTCTTGTAATTGCAAAATTACAAAATCCTCTGATTAATGATCTGAATGATTGAAAACGATGAGCCACATGGCTTGAATCCTAGGTTTCGAGATTTGTTGAGAATTTGATTTGTTGAGAATTTGACTTGTTCAACACTTGAATTTTGGATCTTAGATTTATACTTTGAAACTTGGACTTGATTTTGATTTAATTCAAAGAAGACGTTGATCTTCTTGGATTTGCTTAATTTGAAGAAGATTTTGATTTTCTTCGTGTTTGGCGGACTTAGAGTTGAGATGATTTCTTCTTCTCCTTCAATTTTAGGATTTTTTTCAGCACTTTATGATTTTGTTTGCACTTTCACCTCTCCTTCTTCTTATGGCCTTTTGTCCTATTTATAGGAGAAATTCGTGACTAATTTTGGTAACCACTCAATTAATTATTGAGATCAATGCTGTGAGGGAGAAATGAGAGAGAGAGAGAGAGAGAGAGAGAGAGGCGGGTAGAGAGAGAAAGAGAGAGATGAAAAATGATTTAGGGTTTGAGATTGGGTAGAGTGGGAATAATATTTAATTTTTAAATCAATACCTAAATTTTGATTAAAATTTCTTCTCATCTGATTTTTGCACTCTAATATTTAGACACCTGATTTATTATAATTTCCCAATGAACTTTCTTGTTTCTCTAGCAATTGGGCCAAGGTTTGTTGACACAGTTGTGACGCAGCTTTAGCCATCATTATATAATAACAGTCTGGCATGGTTTGATCAAGTTTTCCATCACAATTAATTTTGCAGCATCAATATATTTTCACCGTGATAGTTTTTTAATTTAACATTTATTTTAAAAAATTACCATATCTTAGCTTAAAAATGCGTGTTTTTATTTTGCAACATGCTTTTGAAATTTTGAGAAGGATTAAATTCAATGATTCGTCTCACTACTTCATGTTGCCTTGATGGAAAATTAATGAATCGGTGTTGCTTGTTGGCTTTATAATTTTCTACCACACGCGTCTTAAATTTATGGGTCTGCCCTTGTGTGCGATAGATTGGGTCCGTGACAAAATCACTACAAAAAGTATTGATAAGTTTCTCCCACCCCCACCCCAAATCTGAAAATCTGGGTTTGGAACTTCGAGAATGCTTCAAAAGCTCGGGAATAGAGTCCTCGGAACCGTATGTGCGCTCTGTTGCAATGGAAGTGGCTCTAAGGAACTCTATCTATGCATTTAGCCCAAAACTTCATATTGATTGACCATGGAATCAGAAACTCAAAACTTCATCTGAAACAGTTTATCTCCTTCCCACCCCCCCCACCCACCCACACTTTTAAACTTTTTTCAATTTTCAAGCTTGCAACGGAGCTGGATTTAGTTAGCGAATCCGAATATAAAAACAAACTTTTAAACTTATTCTATCGTAATAATGCGAGAAAAGAACTTAACTTATGATCTTCACAACTTTTTCCATATCGAGCCTTTCTTCAGCAAATCGACTGTGCTTTCAAGAGCTAGTTCAATGGCTACTTTATTTCCATTTCGGGAATAAAACAGCAAGCTCACGCCCTGTAGTAAAGTTCGAATGTCACGCGAAGTAGCTTGATTTGGTGCACAACTAAAATATACATTGAGGCTCTGAACTACCCGGAGTGAATGCTTTAGGCTACATTGACATTTTAAACTCGACTTTCTAGCAAAAAAGTCACTTGAGTCGACAAGGGTCGACGAGGGTCTACAAGATCATCATTTCCTAAAGAATTCGAAGATGCCTTAATGGATTTAATTTATAATACTAAATTATTTTCAACTAATACCATAATGGTCATGCTTAAATAAAGCTTGAAATTTCAGTTTCAAATGGAAGATAGCAACCTGTTTATTCTTTTTTCGTTTCTATGATCTTTTACATTAGTAAACGACGGATTTCGCGTATTAAAATATAGAAATCGTTACAAATTGTATCTTTGAGAAATACAAATGGATATGAATCTTCTTGTAATTGCAAGATCCTCTGATTAATGATCTGAATGTTTGAAAACGATAAGCTACATGGCTTGAATCCTAGGTTTCGAGATTTGTCGAGAATTTGATTTGTCGAGAAATTGATTTGTTCAACACTTGAATTTCGGAGCTTGGATTTACATTTTGAAACTTGGACTTGATATTGATTTAATTCAAAGAAGACGTTGATCTTCTTGTGTTTGTTTAATTTGAAGAAGATTTTGATTTTCTTCGTGTTCGCCAAACTTTAAGTTGAGATGATTTCTTCTTTTCCTTCAATTTTGAGATTTTTTTCAGCACTTTGTGATTTTGTTTGCACTTTCACCTCTCCTTCTTCTTATGACCTTTTGTCCTATTTGTAGGAGAAATTCGTGACTAATTTTGGTAGCCACTCAATTAATTCAATTAGAATTGATTAAATTAAATAATTGTGAGCCTTAGTAGGCTTTAATTTAGTAAACTTAATTGAACTAATTATTTAAATTGACACAACCCTTATTTAAAAAAAAAGGATGATCCGCATCTTTAGCGGCCCCCACCTGTCCTGCCCTGGGCCTTGGTGAAGGAGGTAAATCGCAGGTTATGCCTCGAAGGGTACATGGTGGAAGGTTACTTGTACACTTGCACTTACCCAAGAGCCAAATCCATATTTCAGGATTCGAACCCTTGACACGACAGCCTCAAGCAAAGTTGGAGTTTTTCCACCTTCCCCTTTTACCACTTGAAGATGTGCCCTGGGGGCCCCAACCCTTATTTTATTTATTTATGTCTACAATTAGAACGTTTATACGAATTTTCGAACGATAAAACCAATTAATCCAACTCTTACGAATCTGTATCCAAGAAATTATTGGTTATGAAAAAATATAAGAAAATAAACAATCGTTGAAGTTAATTATACTACACAGCATAAATTGTAATTTTTGAATTTTATTGTCAAATATGAAAAATGCAGGCTGACTTAATCCTGGTACTGTTACAGACAATTAAATAAAGAAATTTGAGAAGCAAAAATGTAAATGGAAGACAGGAGAACAAAAATCAGCAGAAAAAAATGAGCTAATTAAAACATGAATCAATATAAATCAATAGCCTAAAATAACTTATGCTATTTGAACTTTTCTAATCTTGCTATTGAGTTTTTGTAAAATTTTCAAGATTGGAATCACAATTATCAAACGTCCTGGAAAATTATCAAGCATGCAAAATGAAACAAGTCAAAAGGAAATTAAAAAAAATGAAAAATAAAATCCCAACACAAGTAAGAATTAATTGTAAATTGAATGAGGGAATTTTCCATTTTGTTTTGAGTACCTGATGATGGAAAGAAATCTGTGTTCGTTCAATTTTGGGTTTCTGGCTCATTGTCTCCATGAATTCTAGCTGGAACTTGAAAACCAAACTCGAAATGGCTACCGGCATCTGAATATTGGCGAATACTTGGCTGTGGATTATGTTGAAAAAAGTTTGAGTAATTGGATTGAAGGAGTTCCCTATGAGAAAATGGCATGTCCTGGGAGAAAAATGCTTGTTGGACTTGAGGCATTGCATGTGAGTCAACAAGAAATCCAACCCTATTTTCGACACTTCCGTTGGCACTCCAACTATCCATGCTTTGGAAATTATCCTGAAATGTTGAAGCAGATGGTTCTGGATTAGTGGAAGGCCATGAATTTTGGTCTTGCAATATGTGAAGTGAAAGGCCAAGGTCTTTAGCCTGAAATGAGGCTCTTGACATTATATCATGTGGGAAATTCTGATAATTCATCAATGAAGCCACCCCAGAACTTGTTTGGAAGAATGATTTCATCATGGTCATGAATTCCTTGTCAGGTTCTGATTGAATGTTAAATGAAGATTCTGGTTGTATATTAACTTTTGTCCCATTTGAAATTGGATTAGATTCGGAATTTTGAGCTACTGAAGTATTGTTCGGGTGCCTATGAGGTAGCTCGTCTAGCTTATCAATAGCATCTTTCGCCTTTTCAATAAGCCAATCGACTGCCTTGCTAGGCCGGTCGTAGCCTAATCGGTCCTGAACATCATAAAATTGTATTGCAGTGTGAGCAGAAAGCCTGACTCTTCTGTCCCTCGGGCCTTTTGCTGTGTAAACCTTGCTGTGCCGATCCTTCAGTCTAGTTGACCGGAGAATATGACCGCCTTGAACTTGCACTGTTTCTCCTTCTACTCCTTTGCCCTTCATTTGCCCTTTTCGTTCCATATTTCCATGTTCAGTGTTGGATTGTCTTCTTTCTCTCATTATATATGTAGCCAGATAAAGATTTTAATTAAACCTGATACTCCTGCTGCTGGTAATCCCGAAAAACCTTGCTAGTTTATTTTCAAGATCCTACTGTCCAAAGAAAGCTAAAATCAAAAAAGACTAAGCTCAAAAGTGGAGATAAATCTACAGATAAAATGGTTTTATAGAAGAAATTAACTATTTGGTTATGGAGAAGAAGATACACCTGTTTAGAGCTCCAAGATAACTATATAAAAAGAAAAATTTCAGAAAAAAAGGTTGAAATTGAGCTGAAATCTTGTCAAGGGTCTTCAAGAAGATTCAATTTTTCAGGCTAAAAAAATAGGTTTTGTTATTTGGAAAGAATAGGTGATGAAATGAATGGGAAGAAGATTCAATTGCAGGCTCAAAAAATAGGTTTTGGTACTTGGAAAGAATAGGAGATGAAATGAATTGAAAGGCAGGTATATCAGAAAAAAAAAAAAGCTTCAAGTTTATAGAGGTTTTGATGACTTGAGGTGGCTATATATATATCGGTTTTGCTATGGGTACATCGGGGTGTACATCCCCCTCACATGGGATGGGTCCCGCTAAAATAAAAAAATATTTGACATAGTGGGGTCCACTCCCATGTGAGGAGGATGTACACCCTTATGTATGGATGTTGATGTACAAGTAGAATTATTGATATATATATATATTCATCCCATTCCTTCAATTTAACTTTTTCACTTTTATTTATTTATTTATCGAAACACCATTAGAGACTAATCGACGTTTTCAGGCCTCCACCAAGAATCTGTGGGGGAGATTGAATTCCCCAACCCCATTTTATTGATAAAGAGTCAGAGGACGTAAGTGATTACCTCAACGTCAGATCATATTACGTCTAGAGGAGCAGAGAAAGAACACTTGAAAGCGATAAAAATGGAAGTACAACTTCCGTTACACAATAATTTCATAATTTTTTTACTTACCAAAGAAATCAAAATGCCAGAATGTAAAGCGAACATAAGGCAGTCTCTTTTCTCCCAATATCCGAAGGTCCAGTATGGTTTTTTT